TCTTCTTTATTTTTTTGAACTATATTAAGTTTAAAGAGATCTTTCTATCTTTTAGTCTTTACCATTTTTGTCACGTTTTACTCAAATCGTCGATGAGAAAAAAAGATTTAACACCGCAACTTGTTCAGATTATCTTTTAGTTTGAGTTTCTTGTTTGATTTTGATTGTCTTGTTTGATTTCTATAACTCTTGGTCAGCTTCTGTAGATACTTCAAGATGTAGTGTATCAAAGCCTAGAGATGTTAATAACCACCACAGATAGAATTTTTGAGATAGCAGGAGAGAACAAAATACAAGAAATCAGGACTCTCTTAGTTAGTAGGCTTCTCATAATTTTCACGGTTAGTTAGTAGCCTTCTCTTCCATGAATTTCTTTGGGCTTTCAATTCTGTAAGTTCTCTCTCTCTCTCTCTCTCTCTCATAATTTTGTAAGTTCCTTTTCAATGTCGCTCTCATATTTTTCTGTTTATCTACTTTGTGTTTTACTTGTTCTTATTTTGTTATATGACATCTTTGTTCAATGCTCAATCACCTTTGTTTAGTCAGATTGTTCATCGTAGTTGTGTGTACTTGAGTCAACTTGATTACCTCTTTTGTTCTTGATAAATCGTCAGCAATATTGAACTCAACCGATCTTTATTTTAAGTCATTCAATTATCACATCCATTCAACTATTTTTTTGTGTCTCGTTGTTCTTTCCTTTCTTGAAGTTATAGTTGTTTGAAGACTAATGATGTTGTGTAAAATCTGAATGCTGTTCAATAGGAGAGTATTTTGCTCGCTCAAACTTGTACATGGAATTAAAGTTAAAAGTTCTAATTGTATGGCATGCATGAATTAGTTTTTTTTTTACATAAGATGATGCATGAATTAGTTCAATTGCATTCTTTCTCTACTCTTGGATATTGGGATTTAACATGATGCCGAATCAATTTTTTGCTAGCTTAGCAGCCCCTTCCCTCTCTTTCTTGCGTCGCTGTCTTCTGTCTATGCAGACATAATTCGCAACTCAGATGCTAATAAATCCCTCTGGCTTTAACATTTTGATCCTGATTTTTAGGGAGCAGTAACTTTCTCTGCTTGGCGGCGTTAATTTTTTTACGTGCCCAATTGGTATTTTGTTTTCTTCTTCAGTTTTATAAGGTCCATGAGACCAACAAATGACACAATATCTGTATGTGTGTTTTCTTAAATGTTCTAATATTCTATGCTTATTACTTAGCTTCAGCTATATATGTTGTCTTTACATGCTAACTGCTTTTTATTCTGGCACAGGATGCTGAGGCTGTATCCTATATCAAAAAGTGTACAATACATGATCAATATTGAACAACCTAATTGGGCAGTTGCTGTGAGTTAATAACCCTTTCTGTTTGGATGTGAAGGCCCAGCTTATGTACATCTTGTTTTGACGTTGGTCTATAAGCAGCTCTAGTCTGGTACATACATGTTCACTTTAGTCCGTGGTTATGCACTCAATTGTCAATCATCATGGGTATACTTGACATACGCTATTGGGTGGACAATTTATTTTAATATTCCATTTTCGTGGATGTTTCATACTGCTTTGTCCATGCCTTCCCTGTTTCTATTGAAGTTTCTTCTATGTTTTCTTATGTCTTTTCTTCTTGTAACAGACTTTTCTTTATGTGTTTTACCTATTAGAGAATCCTGAATATAAAGCCCATTAGTAATTTGCAACATGTTGTTGAGGTAATCTTAGATCAGAAAGGACCGATAATTTTTCCATTGATATAAAGGTGGATAATTTTGGCATTGGACAGATGGATATGACCTCAATACAGGTGCTTTATTTATCACCCCGTAGAGATGAATACTATATGGTAGCGGTAGGAAATTTTTTGGCCTTGAATCACAATATTCCGGAAGAACAGGTTGTTCCAGCTCAATATCATCAAGAATTATTGACTATTGCATAGAAAGAGGTTTATCTTCGAAATATTTTTTCCTTCCAGTATTTTTATTTATGTTTCTTTTCAAATTCACGTATCTTTTGATGGTGAAAACTTCGGAGCTAATTGAGAGAATGAGAGACACTTGTCGAGTAAGTTACTCATTAATATTTTCCTTTTGAAATCATGTTAGCGTGAAGTGCATCTATCTTCTTATAAGTTGCATGCCTAGTTTTCATAATTGTCTAATCTAGGATCTCTTGGATATGCACTAAAACAAAAGTAGAGATGAGACTTCTTCTTCAACAAAGACACTAATAATGAAGACTCGGAGAAAACTAGGATTGATCACACTTATTGCCGAATTGAACTTGATGGCTGTGTGAAAAACCTAACTACCTAAGGTCTTGGATGACCCATGTCAACCTCGCCAGCATTAGCATATTTTTGTAGTTGAGAATATGTATCTCAAACCTGTTGGAAAGAACATCCTTCAATTTTAGGGTTCTCTGTGGTAATCTGGAATCCTGGTTATTGGTTGTTTCTCTTATTCTTTATTCCAAATGAGTAGATGACAGGTTTTTAACCCTTCTTTCTTTCCTTGTCTTGTGTAGATAAGTGAAGTCTTATCATGGTCATGGTATTGGAGAGCTCTTCCATTGCGCACCAAACATTCTTCATTATGCAAGTATCCTTAAAGAAGCAACTTTTCCATTTGAATGTTCGTTTGCATTAAAAATCTGCCTATGAACAAAATGAGGAACGGAAAGTATAGGGTGAACTGACTCATATTTCTGTGATATTACAATTTCAATATCGTCTTATCCACTCGGTATTTTTCCTTCGTCCTCTTTGTATGACCTTAACCTTAGCAGGAAATAAAGCTTTTGGTGTTAAACTAGGATTGATCACACTTATCGCCGAATTGAACTTGATGGCTGTGTGAAAAACCTAACTACCTAAGGTCTTGGATGACCCATGTCAACCTCGCCAGCATTAGCATATTTTTGTAGTTGAGAATATGTATCTCAAACCTGTTGGAAAGGACATCCTTCAATTTTAGGGTTCTCTGTGGTAATCTGGAATCTTGGGTATTGGTTGTTTCTCTTATTCTTTATTCCAAATGAGTAGATGGCAGGTTTTTAACCCTTCTTTCTTTCCTTGTCCTGTGTAGATAAGTGAAGTCTTATCATGGTCATGGTATTGGAGAGCTCTTCCATTGCGCACCAAATGTTCTTCATTATGCAAGTATCCTTAAAGAAGCAACTTTTCCATTTGAATATTCGTTTGCATTAAAAATTTGCCTATGAACCAAATGAGGAACGGAAAGTATAGGGTGAACTGACTCATATTTCTGTGATATTACAATTTCAATATCGTCTTATCCACTCTGTATTTTTCCAACGTCCTCTTTGTATGACCTTAACCTTAGCAGGAAATAAAGCTGTTGGTGTTATGAAGGCTGGGCAAATCTTTACCATTGAACCTATGATAAATGCAGGTAATTTTACAATGCTTATAAATTGTAATCAAAAGTTCTGCCTCGACGTTTTTGTTGTACTCATAGTTATCAAATCGTGTATCGGAAGGCGTATCGTAAGATACAAATATTGTATCGTATCGTGTATCGTATCGTGTATCGTAAGATACGATGCAATTTTAAATAAATAATAAAAAAATATATATACCTTTGAAAAAAAGTCATACACTCATAAAAAATATAGCATTTCATTAATACTCCACCAACTATTCAAGTTATCAACATAATCCACTACTATTATAATGCAAAGTTCACAACCATAGTTCACTAATTCAAACTTTAAACACCAAAGAGACTTCTAATCCAAATTTCTAACATCCATTTTGAACTCAATCTTCAATTTCAATTGAAAATGCATCATCATCATCATCATTGTGATCGGATGCCAACAAGTCTTCACTTGTCGTTTTTTTAAAAAAAAATCAGAGCACAAAACGACGTCGTTTTAAAAAAAAAAAAAAAAAAAAAAAAAAAATTGCACGTATCGTGCGTATCGTACCGATACGTATCGTATCGTAAAAACGTATCGTGTATCGGACGATACAACGCAAAAACGATACATAACTACGATCCGTATCGTTTTAGGGCTGTATCGTAACGTATCGTACGATACGTATCGCGTATCGTACGATACTAACAACTTTGGTTGTACTTGTTTTATTTTTTGCAAATTTGATTTTTAATGGAGTTAGAATGCTATGATTGCTTTGCCTTGCTACATGCATAAAAATAACTTCTTTCTTGTAAGATGGATGACACCTTTAACCTTTTTATGTTGAGTTTATATTCATGTTGTGCAAGTCTTTTATACAGGGTGATTAACATTTGTTCTTGGTAATATGCTGGCAATACCAATGGCTGAGGCTAAAAGTCATTTCCTTGTTTGGCGTCTATTGAAACAAACGAAGCCTTTTTGTTTAATTGTTGATTGAATGAAGTCAAAATTTAACAAGGAAAAAAGTCAAATTTATGGTTGACAGTTATAAGGTTGAAAAGTAGTAGATGTATACATAGGTTTTCATGCCTTAGCTGAAAAACCACTATAACTTTGTCTTTTTAGATGTTATGTTTTTCTTGTTATGATGGTTGAATGAATATTTTTGTTAAGGATGTTGATTCTGGAGCTGTAATATCACAATTTAGAGCTGTAATACCAGTCAAATATCAGCATTATGTTTCGATCAAAGTGGCACCCTTCTGTGCCTGCTTCAGTGCATGGAAATAGCATAAATATTTTCTGGATCATACCCATCTTGGATACATAATAGTGCAGGCACTCAAACCTATGGCTGGGCTCTACTCATGTGCATCTGTATAATTTCTATCATGGAATGACAACTGCTGTTAGTAGACATCCATTTCTCAGTATTCATTATTTTCTTCTCTTCCTTTCCAAATGGTCTAAGTTTGTGGAATATTGTTGGGATTACCGAGTTTTATTTGGCAGATCATCCAAGACATGTGCTTCTGTCATTACTATCAGTGGATTGCTATTATACCATCCAAAGGGAGTTGCCACTTTTTTGCTCTATGCCCCTTTGGTGGCAATGCCAGCTTTCAAACTCTTGTTTCTCCATGGCAAATGTCCATCCCCGTATTCCATTGTATCTCTACCACGGCGGTCTACTTCATCTTTCATCCTAAACCAGCAATCTTCTTCACCTCGTCACCCTGTTACCTTTTATGTGGTAAGCCGGATCAAGAATAATGCCTCGGGACTGCTTATTCAGTTATCAATACTGCTACTTCCGCAGAAGGAAAGGTTAACCTGCCATCTTGTGCTGGTCCAACTGATTTTTCACATTTCCGTATCTTCTTGTTTTGCAGGATGTTCACTCTGGGGTTAATTCCTTGGAGCATCTGTTAGTTTATACTCCATCAGGCTATGTGATTAAACTTGAGCTTCTGCCATCAATTGAGGCAGAGCTAAATGAGAGTGATCTAGCAACTCGGTCTGGCTCATATGTACATTCGCAAGATGAGAAGTAAGTGTGAAAGTTGAACCTGTTCAATTGTGGGATGTGTGTAGAAGATCAGATTGTCTAGAGAGAGAGGAAGGAATGTTTTTCAGAGACTACTTTTGATGCTCAATTGGCTGGAGAGAACAAAGTTTCTGGAGATAAATCTGATTCAGTAAAGCTCCCTGAGAGATCCCACCTGTATCTGTCAAATGCTAAGGTGCAAATAATGCAAATAAATTCTGGATGGTTACCAATATGGCCAAAATCCAAGGTAAAATCTGTTAGATTCATGATTCCCTTGATTCTGGTATTCTAATTTGGTTGTGATTAATCTTCATCATTGCTCTAGATTCATTTTGGTAGAATTATCCCTCCAAGAGTGGATAGATACAATGGTGGAGAATTTGAAATCTACAAGGTCCCATCTTATATAGTGGAACTAAGACAGAAGGATTTATTGTCAGTGTATGATCATTTCCACAACATCAAATCTAGTTGCATTGACAAGTGTTGATCACATTCACCTCTTTTCAGGTTCTGGTAACTCTCCATCTGTAATCAATTATGTTGATTCTTGTGTTGGATGTTTATGTCCATATATTGCTGAAAATTTCTAATAAGTTTAATTTTCTGTTTTGAAATGTTGGTTTTCATATGGTGATAGACTTCTTAGAGGAGTAAACTAACTTGAGTAGTAGTAGCAACATGAAAAAGGTTATAGCCAAATCTACTTTCTGTTATGCCATCAGCCAGATGATTTATGCAGGTAGTTACATAAATTGTGCTGACTTACCATATACTTCTGCGTCTAGCATGATGAATTCAGGATGGATTTATGTGTGTTAGTTGGACTAGGGGCCATAAATCTTCACTTCTTCTAGCAAAGGAGTTTCTGATTTCCCCTCTCGTTATTGCAACAGAATTGGAATGTCATTTGTAATCATCAGACCTTCATTGCATTATCTTTTTTCCTTTCCATTTGGTAGATGTCTTATTCAGTGTTCTCCATTTTGTACTTTTTTCTTTCTCATGAATTTAGAATCTTGTTTCTCATAACAAAAAAATACAACCCTTAATTAGAACTTACTCTCCTTCCCATTATAAGAATTGCAGTTAATTGATAAGAGGGAATGCCGTACAAGTTGGGTGGTGGTATGTCACTGTAATAATACTTGTGAACTTGAAAAAAAAGAGAAAAACCATTTACACTTGTTATAACAATACTTTTAATTTTAGCCCTTTTGTGAGTACCATAATCATCTCCATCCACTATCGGTTCTTGCTGCGATATTTGCAGGTATTCTACATGCAAATAAACTAATTGAATTGTGTGTGCCCTTTGTAAATTCTGATAAACTATTGCTTCCTAAGAGATTTTTGTCTAATGTCTTGGAATGTGTTGTGGGGGGTTGTGCACTTGCACACATGCCTACAAGTGCATGTGTCTTGGGGTGCTTAGTCCCAACTTGAATTTTATTGTAAGCTTGGTTGTTTTGAATTTACTTGCCTTGCCTTGCCTCTTCTTTATTTCTTTATATAGAAAAGATATTTCTTGACTTGCTAACGTCTTTATTAAATAGTTTGGATGATTCAAGATTTAATTTTTCCCCTTCTTGTCGAGATGAATTTTCCCTGGGTTGATGTTGGAACATCTAACTAATTTTTTAACTACTTTTTTCCATTAATGCACCAGATAGCAAGCAAGACGGGCGACACATGCCTTTGGTGCAGAAAGAAAGAAAGAGGTATACCATATGCACTAGTGTTTGTTGAGCAAATAGAATTGTCTAAGAAGTGTCTGATGAGACAGAGGTAATTAGAGGGTTTGCTTTTGTCTTATCATATCTCAAACAGGTTAAGGAGTCGATGAAATCTCTTGATTCTTATTGGATCATGATATAGATTTTTGGTTTACTTAGCTCATTCTCTTAAATATATAATTAAAGAGGGTAATCTTTTGGATGCAGTTTATTCATAAGATGCTTTACATTCATGCATGATAAAGGACTATCGTTGATTTGATGTTGCAGTGCATTCATCAATTTTCTACAGCCTGTTGCTGTGACCTTGCCTTGGTAAACTCTATCTCAATGCTTAGTTTCGTTAGAGGGTTTTTTTTTCTATAGAACCAGCAGTGTTTGAATCTGATTCTTTTGTTTATACAATTTTCCCAGTTGACTGTATTGGACTTCATTTACCTGGACACAGTTTAAAAGTTTTATTGGTAAAGCAGGTAACTTAACCTGGCTTGGGCTACTTAAAGCTGGATCGAACTGTTACGTGCAGGTTCTCAGGTTCCAGTGGGCTGTGTTAATGGCGAGATGTCATTGGATAGTAACTCTGGGTCTTGAAACGCAAGTAAGCTCTAACTTATTTATTTTGTTGACAAGGTTGAAATAAACAAACATCTGTGAGATACTTCATATTGTGAGTGTGAATTATTTGTTGAGTACCATACTGCATTTATAACTGTTCTTTATAGATGCTGTCGATTCCTGCAAAGTGTCAGGGTAATGAAGGATTAAGAAGGTCACATCCTGTACTGTTGGTTGTTGTGGGTGATGAGACCAACAAGTTAAGCCTTGATCAAAAGCGTTGTCATTTGGGTGGGTGTGGCAGAGACGGTTCTATGGAGTTTCAATAGGGGTATGCCATCAACTCTCCTACAGCTAGTCGATTTTACTCTCTAAGTTCTAAGTTTTATGTGCAGGCCCTCAGGTTCCAGTCGGCAGTGTTAATGGTCAGATGTAGTCATCGGATTGTAGCTCTGGGTCTTGAAATGCAAGTAAGCTCCAACTTATTTTATATGTCCACCCGATTATAATAAACTATCAGCTGTCAGATTCATTATATTTTGGACCAATGGGCCTTTGGTCCAATGGTACTCCTTATCATGTGAGAAGGCTTTGCCTTCTTGAGATTAAGGGTTCAACCCCCTTCTCCCCTTCTACTCCCCCAAAAAAATAAAACATAAAAAAAGAAAAAAAAATTATATTTTGGGTAAGAATTATATCTTGAACACCATATTGCATTAACAAATGTTGTAACTAATATCATAGATCTAGGACAGGGATTGGTAATGAAATTCTGCTACTCTTCCTTGGAATGTAGAAAGGATGTATATGTATTTGAGTTCTGTACATATGAAGCAATAAGCATAATGATTTATAGTGTATTGGAAGCAGTGTTTAGAGTACTAAGTTCTGTACTTTATTTGGTTAAGGTTTCTGCTGCGGCAAGAAATTTGATGGCTTACTATTACCCTCCCTTGTGGCAGATACACTGCATTGATATACACTTACTGTTGAGGACAAACTCAGTGTTCTCACCTATCCCTTTCCTCAGTTTGGAGGACAAGGGTCAATATTGGGAATGGTCCAAAAGTTGTAGGTCCAAGGTCGTTAGCTTGTAATCATTGTTAATTCAGAAAATTCTATTATTATTTTTTACCAGGTTAGGCATCTGGGCAAAGTAATCAAAAGTTCTGCCTAGACGTTTTTATTGTACTTGTTTTATTTTTGAAAAATTTGATTCTTAATGGAGTAAGAATGCCATGATTGCTTTGCCTTGCTACATTAAAATGTATAGGTGCTTAGTCAATTACATTTTTGAATTTCACATTAATGTATAAAAATAACTTCCTTCTTGTAAGAAGGATGATAGTGCAAGTCTTTTATACAGGGTGATTAACATTTATTCATGGTAATATGCTGGCAATACCAATGGCTGAGGCTAAAAGTCATTTCCTTATTTGGTGTCTATGGAAACAAACGAAGGCTTTATGTTTAATTGATTGAATGAAGTCAAAATTTAACAAGGAAAAAGAAGTGAAATTTATGGTTGACTGTTATAAGGTTGAAAAGTAGATGTATACATGGATTTTCATGCCTTAGCTGAAAAACCACTATCTTTGTCTTTTTAGATGTTATGTTTTTCTCGTTATTATGGTTGAATGCAGGTTTTTGTTAAGGAAATTGATTCTTGGATACATAATAGTGCAGCCACTCAAACCTATGACTGGGCTCTTCTCATGTGCAGCTTTACAAGATCTATCGTGGAATGATAACAGCTGCTAGCATACATCCGTGTCTCAGCATTCATTATTTTCTTCTCTCCCCTTCCAAATGATCTAAGTTTGTGCAATCTTGTTCGGATTACTGTGTTTTATTTGGCAGATCATCCAAGACATGTGCTTCAGTCATTACTATCAGTGGATTGCTAATATCCATCCAAAGGGACTTGCCACTTTTTATCCCCCTTTGGTGGCAATGCCAGCTTTCAAATTCTTGTTTCTCAGGGCAAAGGTCTATGCCCGTATCCCATTGTATCTTTACCACGGCGGTCTACTTCATCTTTCATCCTAAACCAGCAATCTTCTTCACCTTGGCACCCTTTTACCCTTTATGTGGTAAGGAGGATAAAGAATAATGCCTCGGGATTGCTTATTCAGTTAGCAATATTGCTACTTCTGCAAAGGAAAGGTTAATCTGCCATCTTGTGCTGGTGCAGCTGATTTTTCACAGTTCTGTATCTCGTGGTTTGCAGGATGTTCACTTTGGGGTTAATTCCTTGGAGCATCTGTTAGTTTATACTCCATCAGGCTATGTGATTAAACTAGAGCTTCTGCCATCAATTGAGGCGGAGCCAAATGAGAGTGATCCAGCAACTTGGTCTGGCTCATATGTACATTCGTAAGATGGGGAGTAAGGGTGAAAGTTGAACGTGTTCAATGGTGGGATGTGTGTAGAAGATCGGATTGTCCTGAGAGAGAAAAAGTAATGTTTTTCAGAGACTGCTTTTGATGCTCAAGAAGCTGGAGAGAAAAAGTTTTTGGAGATAAATCTAACAGTAGAGATCCCACTTGTATCTATCAAATGCTGAGGTGCAAATAAGTTCTGGAAGGTTACCAATTATGGCAAAAATCCAAGGTAAAATCTGTTAGATTAATGATTCCCTTGATTCTACTATTTTCTTTTGGTTGTGATTAATCTTCATCATTGCTCTAGATTCATTTCGATATATCCCTCCAAGAGTGGATAGGTACAATGGTGGAGAATTTCAAATCTACAACGTCCCATCTTATATAGTGGAAATAAAAAGGAAGGATTTATTGTCAGTGTATGATCATTTCCACAACATCAAATTTGGGCTGCATTCACAAGGGTTGATCACATTCACCTCTTTTCAGGTTCTGGTAACTCCCCATCTGTAATCAGTTCTGTTGATTCTTGTGTTGGATGTTTATGTCCATATCTTCCTGAAAACTTCTAATAAGTTTAATTTTCTGTTTTTGAGTGTTTGTTTTCATACAGTGATAGACTTCTTAGAGGAGTACACTGACTTGAGATTGAGCAGTAGTAGCAACGGTGAAAAAGGTTATAGATAAATCTACTTTCTGTTGTGCCATCAACCAGATGATTCATGCAGGTAGTTACATAAATAGTGTTGACTTACCATATAGTTCTGTGTCTAGCATGATGAATTGAGGATGGATTTATTTTTGCGTGGTAGTTGGACTAGTGGCCATAAATCTTCACTTCTTCTAGCAAAGGAGTTCCGCCCTCTCATTATTACACCGGAATTGGAATGTCATTTGTAATCATATAAGACCTTCATTGCATTATCTTTTTCCCTTTTCATTTGGTGGATGTCTTATTCACCATTTTGTACTTTTTTTTTCATATATTGAGAATCTTGTTTCTCATAACAAACAAATACATACTCTCCTTCCCAATATAAGAATTGCATTTAATTGATAAGAGGGAATGAGAAATCTGTTGGGTGGTATATATCACTGTAATAATGCTCGTGAACTTGAGAAAAAAGAGAAAACCATTAACACTTGCCATAACACTACTTTTAATTTTTACCCTTTTGTGAGTACCACAATCATCTCCTAATCCACTATTGGTTCTTGCTGTGATATTTGCAGGTATTCTACAAGCAAATAAACTAATTGAATTGTGTGTGCCCTTTGTAAATTCTGATAAATTGTTGCTTCCTTAGTTATAAACAACAGATTTTTGTCTAATGTCTTGGAATGTGTTGTGTGGGGTGCATGTGTCTGGTGTTTTAGACCCACCTTGAATTTTATTTTATGCTTGGTAGTTTTGTGTGGAAGGCGTTATGGTGGAAGGTTTCCTAGTGCTTCATAATTGGAGACTAAGACGAGGTCACTGAAGAAACTTATCTGTTCTTCAAACCTGCATTCCTTACCTCCACTGAAAGCTCAAATGAAGGTAAGAAACAGTAACCCTGATGAGTATTTGCTCTGAATGCTCATCATTGATGATTTTGTTGCGTTTTAGTCTGATGAGTCAAATGTAATCCTGAAAAAGAAATTTAAGCCTTGACCTAAACATGCTGTCATCTGAACTTTCCATTTCTAACATTTTTTTGGCTGTAGTTTACTCCTTTGGTTTAATAAGTTTTATCTTTTACCAGCGCTCACAACTGCTTCAAGGCATCCTGGAGCTCTCACAAATCAGTCCATTTGAAGGTAAAGTTGTCCTCACTTGCACCGGCTACCCTTGGTGAACAAAATTCAGCCTTACTGGTTGATGGTTGATTATATTGCTCGAGTAAAGGGCAGGCTCAAACTCCAAAACTTCATCGCATTTTGATTGACAGGGTATTGCTCTTTTTTTCTTCTTGTATTTATATTCTACTTTGTTCTACTTTGTTCATTATGTTTTGCAATTTTGATCAATACTTGCTTCACCAGAGCTTGTGCTAGAGACATGATTCAAGTTTAGGATACAGGATTGATATTTCTAACTCCCAAGGCCTATTTATATCGAGTGGTACATGGTTAAATCTACTTGGACGTGTG